GCCACTTTCTGCTTCTCCCCTCTGCAAGCAGCTGGGGACTGGCTGCCCCCTCGGGCAGGCTCACCTCGCCTCGGGCTAGTGCAGCACCAGGAGATGGCTAGCAAACAGCCAGATGTGGCTACACCTCCTTCTCCGTGGGCTGCTGCTGCTCCAGCAGGAGCTGGGAGGTGACTTGGGTGACACCAGAGCCCAGGGACTGGGAGCCTGCGGGGAGCGAGCTGGTGCCAGCGTGGACATGGCTGGGGGGCAGCGCGGTGTGCGGCTTGCTCGGGGAAGCAGTGAGCTCGAGTCAGTGTGTGTCCACGGGCAAACGCCTTCATCTTCTCTGTGCCTCGGGGCAAGGCAACTGGGGGAGGGCATGAAAAGCAAGAGGATTTCACTAAAATGATCCGATGCTGCTTCCAAATTTGGTTCAGCGCTGGCGACGCAAACCAGTAAATATCTGCAGACAGACACAAGCGTGCAGCATGCGGTGTGGCTGAGCATCATTATTCACATATTTGTATCAAAACTATTCACTTATTTACATCAAAACTATTCTGTTTGCAGGCTGGATCAGAATCCCACTGAGGGCAAAAACATTTACAGGAGAGATTATTTGCAAGAACAAGGATTGGAACAAGCAGTGTGGTCCTAACTAGTGCACACAAAATCTCAGAAAGGAAAGGAAAATCTGCCCAAGAAGAGGTTTTGGTCTTGCTTTCAATGAAATATAACCTAAGAACCCCAAGCACCCGAAAAGGAGAGAAGTGTTTCAAAAAGGCACCCTGTGCTGCACTGCTTACCCCCAAAAAGAGGATTTGTGCCCAAGGAAGCTCAGCACCCCTCTCTGCAAGCACCGAAAGAGGACTGGAGTCACAGAGGAACAGGTTTGCCTGCTGTGCAGTCTCCAGTACCAAGATTATCCTATACAGTGCCACATTCAATTGCGAAAAGGAGCGTTAGGAGTAATAGAGCTCCTGCAACTAAAGTGTTTTCTGTCCTCAAATCTTTCAGGAAACTGACTGAGGCAAGAGAGGGAAAAAGCCAAGGGGAGGAAACTTGTTACGAGTAAAATCGTATTTCCTTGGACACTGGGGAGGATGTAAAACTAACCCAGAGGCCTCCAAGTCAGCAGCCATTTTAACATTTTGCGAGAGATTTTCATCTTTTTCCCCTACAGCCTCAGTTCTGCCGTAAACACCGAGCACACCCACCGCGGCTGTCAGCTGTGTGGCTTGCTTTACACTGAAGCAGCCAGGAGATAAAAAATACTTAAGGTAATACAATTCTCAAACCGGTGGCATAAGGTGGCATTCATGACATCTCCGTCAATAGTGCAATTCGGGACACTTTTACCTGGCATCAAGCAGATTGATACAAATAGGATGCATGCACCTGGCATCCAGTGAAAGCAATGATAACGCTGCTTCTCCATCCTTCTGTCTGCAAAACTGCTGATGGCAGTGAGAAGCTAGCAGCCTGTCCTGCCCCCTCCCAAGGCACTGCTTTTCTTTAGCAGGTGAAATAAAAGGAGAAATATTATTCGTGGTTTGTCAGCTTGCACGGGTCACGGCAATGTTTCAGGAGTCCAGAGGTTTTTATGCAATGACATTTGCTGGGCTGCAGTCAGATGGTGGTGCACAAAGTTTTGTGAAAACATGGCAAAAGCAGTAAAGTGAGCAACAATTGATGGAAAAAAAAGACACATTGGCTAAATAAATTATTGGTATACTCCTTCGTGCATGCAATGTAGGGGAAGGCATCACAAATATACATTAACATGCAAGGGATGTGCATTTTACACAGGTATACACACATACACACAACCAGATATATCAACGTGATGTAATTTTAGGAGTTTATTCTTTTCATAATCAATTGACTGCCACTTGCTGGAAGGCAAATCAAGCACAATAAATTTCCTCCCTGGTATCAGGGAAGAAGCAGCAGCAGCGGTACTACAGCACGCCGAAAAGTTCAGCACTAGTAAATTCTTCGGAACACCATTACTGTGATTACTGCTTGTGCAAAGATATGCCTGCCTCATTGTCATTTCTTATACTACATCAAGCAAAGGCTGGTGGGGAACCTCGTGCTGCTGTCGCCCAACTGACTGTGACCTTTTTTGGGTGACCGCGCGGCGGTGGTGGCGAGGGCTTCCCTGCTTCCATGCGAAAGCGTGAAGAAAAGAGCGCAGACCCTGGGATGCAGTTGAAGGTTTTAATAAGTGGAGAAATTATCCAGATTAGCTTTTCTTCCCTTAAATGTCAGCGTGGCGACTTCCGTGTCATTAGCAGGAGCAAATGGAAGGGGCTAAATGTCTTGGGATGCGGTGGGTTTTTAAGCCACGTAATGATGGCGATAAAAATCTGTAATGTCAGTTGCCTTGTGGCAATCAACAAACATTTCGCATTATGCTTGCATCTTAAGGTTTGCGGCCAAAACCCAGATTTGCCTCTGTCTCATTAAAATAACGAATGCAGTCCGAATGGATCTGCAATGATTCACTGTACGTCACACTAAATCACAACGCTTCTCGGAGCCAACTGACTATGGCCTCATTACTTTAGACAAAAGTGGGCTTGGAGGAAAAACTGGGGTGATGTTTTTTTGCTTGGCCATGTTTTTTTCCCTTTGAAATACTTAAGGCAAAAGAGCAGATAGTTTTTTCCCATTGGTAGCTGGGGAATTTGGGTTATATTCACAGTGCAGCTCCCTATCGATACACATAAACACACAAAGCGTTAGTGCTGGTGTTGCGAAACAGAAATCAAACCCATCCAAATGGCATTAATGAGGCAGGTTCTAATGAGTATGAATCACTGATGAAATTAAATACCTAAAAATGAAAATAAGCTTTGAAATAATAAACATATATCTTTTAACTCTTCTGCTAGGGCAAGGAGTCTGAAGACCAGCATGCTCGTGTTGTGTACGAGCTCATGTACTTGTGGTTTGTCTCCTGCAAGTCTTTGTTCTGCAACTTTCAGTGCCTTGAATATAGCCAAAATATTAAACTTTTTTTTTTCCCTGAAAAATCTTGGCTAAATCTCTAAATCATTGCTTTTCAATACTGATACTTAATTATCTATTTGATATTAAAGAATTTTTTTAGAATTATGTATGAAACCAGTTAGCATTTCAGGAATAAACATTAACTCAAACCTTACTATTCTTAATTGCGGAAAAAAAAAATTTAAAATTGAGCTGGATACTTTAAAACCTATGTGTATTTATAAATACAAAGGCAAGATTTTGAGGTAACAGGTAGAAGAATAAATACATGAATTTTGATTATGAAAAGATTATATAAAGGAAATTGTGAAAATCATTCAAAACACCTCAGTGAATGGCAAAGACCTTTCAAATATATTCTTTGTTTTTATAATTGTTACCATTTGCTTTATGCACATATGCTTTATTGTAAAGAGAAAATGTCTGAAATTAAGCTATTTTTCTAAAACACTCTTGCAAATATATTTCTAATTTGATAGCAAAATATTTTGTTATATATGCATTAGGAATTTGTTTCACGTAGGAGGACAACTGAATAAGAAGCATTCATGGAATGATTGATTTAAATGTTATAAATCCCTGAATTTTTCATCTCCCTTTGAACGGAATGCCAAAGGGGATTAAAGACTGAAGACATATCACAAACAAATTTACATTATTAAAATTACTGTAATCAAGAGTGTTTTCTAGCCTTAATCAGGATTAGAGAAAACCAAACAAAAAAATCCCAAAACTTTTCTACTGAGCAATACTAATCAAAATTCTATCAAATGACAGATAACAGAATAAAAGCGCTTTTGAAAATTAAAAATACTGGATGGTGTATCTAGCCTTCTCTCAAAATATTTTCACTCATTTGAGATCTGAGCACCGCTTGCTCTGCTAAATCTTATGGCAGACAGCAAGCACAGAAAAAAAAAATGCTGCTAAATTTCCATAACACCACAAAGTCAGACCTCTTATTTCTGTGAGCACGTCCAGGAAACACACTTGTTTGAATATATGCCACAGAAACAGGAGGGAAAAGTGCAGCGTGGAGTGCTTAGTTTTGTTCTCCTGAATTGTAAGCAAGATGATTGAAGTTAGGGAAAACTGGGCTAGAAATCTGCTGTCCAGGGTGCCGCAGGGAGAACTCAGCCTCCCGGCACGCGCTGCGACTTTCGTGATTGTGCTGGCAATAAGCAGGTTTGCTCTGACGAGCTGTGGAGGCTTTTAAGTGTCTTTATCCACCGTGCTCTGTGCTACACAGCTATGCTACAAGGCTAATATGGTAAAGGGATCAAGCTTGCACAGATTTTTCTGGTCCTCTGGAGCCTCTTAAAGAGGGCAGCGTTACCCTGGTTTCGGAAAGCACAGGGAGATGTGGAGCATCAGGCCCCGTCTCACTTCCACTGGTGTCCCAGTTCGTAATGCTGCAGCAGGATTGGACCCCGCATCCATTTCAGCCTCGTGAAATGTCGACTCCTGCTTTACAGTGGAAATCCTAGAAATGTATATGTAAAGAACAATCCTGAAAATGATCAGAGAATGATGAGCTTTGTTTTGTAAAGCCTGGGAAATGAGCTGAGCAAAGCGGCAATACGCAGATATTGTGCCTGTCCTTCACAAAAAGAGCAATATGGATTAAAGAACAAGGGAAACTGCATGATTCTCATGGCTTTTCTAGAAACCACAACCGATTTAATCTTCACCAGTATCTGGAGAAGAGAGCTGCTATCCGGGCCCTCCGTCTTCAAACCTGTTGCTTCGCTGTATTTGGTTCAACAAGATTTTACCTTGCAAGCTCAAGATTAGTAATGCCAAACCTTGACTGATACAGCGCAAACTGACAGCAGTTTCCAAATCCCTCTTAGTAAGGTTACACTGGCTGGTAAAATGTTAGTTTTGGATATTACATATCATACAAAAGCAACAGGCAGGTGAGTAGCATCTCCTCTTTGCATCTCTTCCTACTGAGACCGTATGCTGACTATTTTTGCAATTTAAAGAAAAACTAAGGGAGGTAAGAAAACAATATATTCTTTAATTAAAAGTTGGCATTGTCTTTTCTTTGAACATACCAGGGTAACAAGTAGATTAGAACACATGAGCTGTATTTCAGTTGCATCCCAGCATACATCATAAATCCTTCTTTATAAAAAACAAACAGGAAGCATAACAAGGACATTTGAGAAGAAAAAGGGAGTTTCAGCATTTTGAAGTGCTCCCCTTATATTCTCTGAAACACCAACCAAAACCAGACACTTGAAACCTTACATGGAACACATAATAGATTTTTTTTTTTTCATTGGGGAAAAATAAATGACAGGTCACGGGATCTTATCCCCAGGATAACCATCCACATTTGCAAGGTTAACACTGATGCTTCACGCACACAAATGCAGTAGTCAGACACTAGTTTATCTCCCCCCAACAAAACCATCTTTCCAGCAGTATCAGGCATTCACTTGGCAGCAGTTTTAGCAGCAGCTCAACGCAGAGCAAATCATACCGAAACAGATGCCTTCCTGTCAACAGGAAGCACGATGGGCTCGGTATGGGTTCCAGCTCTGTACAAAAAAAAGAGTTAAAATCCTGCAGGTCCACTGTGGCTTAGAAACAAGTCACGGAACTGAACTTTCAGATTATCTCAGAAGCTAGTCACCTTGTAGTTTAATATTAATTTGTCTGTGGCAAAGTTATAATTGGGCTTCTTTTTACTTTGGAATTAAAACAACTATTCTTTAAAGTAGATTTTAATAATTATTTACACATTACTTTAGCTTTGCTTTGATAAGTTCTACATTTGTTTTTAACACTTAGCCTTTTAACAGTACTTAGATACTCAAGCTTGCTATTTTTAATTCTTTAAATTTTCTTAAATAAAGGTTTTAACTTTGCATTTGAAATTCTACATTTAGCCTCCTGCAAACAATTCAATGTGGGTTCTCAAAGAACCTTCTGAATATTTCAAGGACTCCCTGCAGGTGAATTTTTAGGATTCCAGGTAGATACAGTAATATGAGCAAGCCTTTTTCTCATGGAAACTGTAGAAAAACTTAATCATTGTACTAAAAATACTTGTTCCAAAAATATCTTAAAAATAACAGTCTGCAAGACTATGAAGACTTTTCTCAGCTCTGAAATTGAGCCACTTTTTACCATAATTATTTGAGGGGAAAAACAGCAATTATAAATTCAATTGTTATTAGTGTAAGTTCATAACCAACCCAAACTTTTTTTTTTTTAATATTAAGCTGTTAAGTATTCCAACTATTTTAGTTTCTGATAAAACGTAAGTTAAACCATTCTCCATTTAAATATTCCCAACTGCTCAATTTGCAATAATTTTAACCAGAATTAATAAACATTTAGCTAAAAATCATGATTCTGTTACACAGACACCCTTTTTTTTTTTTCCAAAATAATCTCTGGCAACAACTCAGTCTGCAAGATATCAAATGACCTTTGGTGATTTGCAGTTTCCAGTCAATTTTGCTTCAGTAGTGGTTTTGGTTGGCTTTCACTTCATCAGATGCCTTTAAAGAATATTTTCAAGACTTTCTTTTATGGAAAGAGGTACAACAGATAAACTGTTCTGAAAAAAAAAAAAAAGAGGAAATGAAGATATAAAATTGGAAGTGAGCAAGAATCAGTTTTAAGCATACGTCTTTATGAATGAAGCTGAATCACACACTTCATTTTCCAAACACAAAAAGTCTTTTGGAAATGTATTAATTAAAATTAAGTGCCACCGACAAGCAGCTTTAGAGGGATGGCAGTCCTTTTCAAATTAGCATAACACTAACGACAGCCACGGAAATTGGTTTAATAACCCTAAATAGTTACACCCCACTCCTAACACAAATGGCCACGGACAGCTCGAGCCCCTCGGGCTGCGACTGTACCAGTTTGTGTGGTTGCTCTGACATGGGGTGGGTATTCCTATCTGAGCAGAAATCACTGAATGCACCTCAATTATGATTATATAATGATTAGTGAAGCATACAAGGCACATAATAAGACAGCAAACCAAAGTAAACCAGCACAGTGACATCAAAACTTGGTCGGCGAGGGACTCACTTGGTAACTCGTACTACCGCAGTCAACACTCAGCAAGAGATTATTCATTTAGCCGTGACATTAAGCAGCCCAAACCACGCGTAGGTCTAGGGTCAAGCTGCAGATATAACAGAAAACCAAGCTGAAGGGACGAGCAGAGTCTTTAAACACTTTCCTTCCCTGCCGTGTTTTACACCAGTGTCCTCGGAGCTAAGCTCAGTGCTACAGCAGCCCCAGCACAGCACTGGGGGCAAAGCATTTTCCAGCAAGCATCTAAATACATAAGCTAAACCTCACGCATTCACAGTCTGCTTAACTGTAAACATCACTTTTGTGTGCTTGAGATTCGTTAGAAAAGATGGAGAAAAAAAAAAACACAAATCCCTGCTGAGAAGGAGCTGGATTTCCACAAGCTTTTTAAAGCACGATGATTGCTCGCCTAACTTCACAGCGCTGGTCCCCTGCGAAGCACTGCTACAGCACCTCCTCGTTACCTGACTTCAGCAGGGCTTTGCTTGGACTGCCAGCTGGTTTTAGAGACATGTAGGACAGAGAAAGTGGTTATTCATGTCTTTTATTTATTATAAATACATATAAATAGGTTAAGTGACCTTTGCTTTGCTTATGATGAGCAACGACTTTGGAAAATCTGGAAAACTTAACCAAGCTGAGAAACAGGCAAAAAGCAGGCATTAGCATACAATCAGAGTCCCCTCAGTTCAAGATTATTTTCTAAAGAGCAAAATAATGCATCTTATTCTGAAGCATCTATAGCTTTATCAAGAGCACCAGACTGCCTCCCTCCCAGGAGCTGACCAAATGACATTTTCATTTGGGTTTTAGGGCACAAGCAAGCCCTGTCTGGCTACAAATGAAGCCCCTCGTTTACGTGTGGCTCTGAAACATTGCATAGTTTCGGGGCTGGGTTTTCTTTCTTTCCTTTTAAGCTGTTTTCAACCCAGATCAATCAGTCCAAAGACAACTCACTGAGGTTTCCACTTCCAGATCTCTCTCTCTCTCCCCTTCCCTGTGCTTCTGTAGTTTAAAAACTGCTCAAGAACTTCGCAGGTCAGAGCAGGCAGAAGAGAAATGCCACGCTCACAGTCCGCTAACGGGCTGGGAGGGAAACGACTACCGATGGAGTTGCACAGGGGGGAAGAAACTAAAAGTTAACAGTGGGTGTGTTTTGGGTCCGAGCATCTCCAAATGAGGTACAAGGGGGTGATTTAAGAAAAATGAACAAACAGAAAACCCAGACTTAACTGATGGCAGGAAGCCGGGGCTGGTGGCAAGCAGAAAGAAAGGCGCAGAGGAGGAAAAAAAGAAAGAAAAATAAACCCGAGAAGCCCGAAGAAGGCAGAAGTCAAGGCTTGTCGTTACAGTGTTTGCAGAGGGTGGAGGCGGCTCCCGTGAAGGCAGTGCATTTCTCGGGGCAGCCAGGCAAGGCCGTGCCAGTGAAGGGGTAGACGGCCGACTGTCCGAAGGGGCTGAGGGTGGCGGGCAGCGGGGCGCCCAGCGCTTGGCCCTGGTTCAGGTAGGCCACCAGCCTCCGCATCTCCTCCAGAGCCTGCGCCTGCATGAGGATGTAGTTCTTGGCCAGCAGCAGGGTGGCGATTTTGGACAGTTTGCGCACCGAGGGGCTGTGGGCGTAGGGGATGACGGAGCGCAGGCCGTCCAAGGCGTCGTTGAGGTCGTGCATCCGCCGCCGCTCCCGGGCATTGATGCTGAGGCGCAGCGAGCGCTGCTCCTTGGGCTTCTTGCCCAGGGCGGCCCCCTTCAGCTTGCCCTCTCGCTCCAAGGCCTCGCCGCCCTTCGCCCCGGCCTCGAAGGCATCCTCCTCGTCGCCGCTCTGCTCGCCGCTGCTCTCCGCCGCCTTGCCCAGCGCCCCGGGGTGGTGGAAAGCCGCCCCGCCGCCCCCCGACAAGGCTCCTCGAGGGCTCTGGGCGCCGCCGTAGGTGAAAGGAGACGGGGCGTAACCCGGGGCCAGCGCCAGGTAAGCCTCGCCGGCCAGAGACTTGAGCTCGGCCATCCTGCCCCCCCGGCGCTGAGGGAGGGGGAGGAGGATGAGGAGGGTGATGATGAAGAGCAGGACGCGGCCCCGCCGCTCCGCGCCGCTCCGCGCCGGGGGCGGGCTATGAGGCGGCCGCGGCCCCGCCGCCGCTTATATAGCGGAGAGCGGCCCGGCGCGAGGCCCCGCTGTCCAATCAGAGGGCAGAAAGGGGCGGCGGGAACGGCCCCGCGCCGGCCGAGGCCCCGCCCTCGTCCCCGCCGCCTGAGGAAGGCGCTGAGGGGAGCGGGGTGGGGGGGGCAGCGCGGCCGTGAGGAGGGGGCTGCAGGGCTGTGGGGTGGGGGGACTGGTGGTCCCCTACGGGTAGAGGGGAGATCCGGGAGTGCCGGGGTGAAGTCTGGTCACTGGTGTGCTCTGTCTGGGTCTGCTGTCCCGGAACCATGTTCCTATCCCGTCACCACACTCCTGTCCTGCCATGATGCTCCTGTCCCGTCACGATGCTCCTGTCCCATCATGATACTCCTGACCATCACCACACTCCTGTCCTGTCATGATGTCCTCTCTTACAGGATCTTTTAAAAACTCTAAATTTCCCTTTCTAAAACGAAGAAGAAAAGGTGACTGTTGAGCTGGTGCTTCATCCTTCCTCGCACTGGGACACTAGCTGGAGCCCCTTTCTGTCATACAGGGTTTTTCAGAAAGTGAGGATGTCAAGGTTGGCTTTCCATCAAAGTTTGCTGAACCCAGTGCAAGGGGGGCAGATCAATGGTTTGTGTGATTCCCCAAGTCTGGTCTCATTTGGAGACTATGCAGGAGTCTGTCTTATTGTGGAAATGGCCACCACACCCTAGCCCTTGTTAGCACCAAAACAAATAAAGAATTGATTAGAGAACATACATACATACATATCTATGTATATCTATGTATATATATATATTTGAGAGGGAGAGAGCTTTCTAGTATCAACTGGAGAAGTGAGCACTTCCCCATCCCCACACCTGGGACCACCAGTCACTAAATGGTACATATTGCAATGGGAGGCAAAGTCATGCAAGGTCTTGACAGCTTGTGGGCATGGCTTGCTGGCCTGGTCGCTCTGATTTAGGTGAGGATGACAGTGGAGGCACCTGTTGTGATGAGAGATTTCCAAGGCAAAGGCCCCGTCTATTTCCATTTCCTTCAAAGGCTCACTGTGCTCCTCCATTCCATGTACCAGGAAAAGAAATGTGATCCTTCCTGACTCAGTCTGACTCTGAAGGGACTCTCTGTCCTTCCCAGTTGTACCAGTAAGCTCAGAAAGGAAACAAATCTATTTTTTCATAACCATTTTGGTAGCATAGTGGCCTGCAGTGAGAGAAATCATGGCTGTGGGGGATCCTTGTGTTACAACAAAACGAGGTCCCAGTGTCAGGATTTTTTTCTAGGCTTCTGAGACTGCTTGGTTGCACTGAGTTTTGGTGTGCAGGCACTATAAGAGCACCCCAGGCTTTCTGCGGGCATGCCACGTGCCTGGTCCAGGCCCCTCAGGTGCCTTCTTGGAAAGGATGGGATGCATCCTGGATACATCCAGGTGTGAGCGGGTGGGTAATGCCTAAAGGCAGACACAACCTGTTGATGCCGATGTACCTGGTAGGTGATTTCCTGGAGCAAACAATGGCTTGGGTGTTAAGGTGACACGAGGCTTTTTCCAGAATGTGTTCTGTTTTTATCAGAGCCTATACAAAGCGCAGTTAGCTTGTCCTCTCCCCATCACCTCCCTTTATGCAGTGTGCTAACGTGAAATGACGAGCTTGTCTCTCTTCCTTCTCCACATCAGAGCCACGAGTGCTGAGATCTGCGGTGACAGATGCACACTCGCTCGTAGTAGCAGAGCTGCAGCCCAAGAATGAGGCTGCTCCCCTCTGTGAATGTAAATCCTGAAGATTTTTGGAAGAGTGTAATACATAAAACAAGTTGTGCAAGCATGTGCATCATAGTTTTCTCTTATCTTGCCTCCAGTGTCTGATCTATTATCACTTCTCTGTTTTTGCTGCTCTTATCAGGCTTATTAGACTATGAAGACTGGTTTTAGTTAATTAATTGTTTTATGAGAAATCAACCACTTGACTACTCCTAGGGTAAATCACTGTAAAAATTCATGTGGACTTTCAAATACAGGTGAGCACAGCATAACTTCTGTTCACCTCTGGGATCACTCCCACATTTCAAGTCACAGCAGACAAACAGAGAGAAGTACTAGAAAATTATCACTTACATCAATAGATTCCTATAGGAGAAAAAAAAAAAAAAAAAAAAAAAAAAAAAAAAGATGTGCAAGGACAGTTAAAAGCAGGATTGTTCCCTGCTGGAAAAGTTCCCTGCTGGAAAAAAAATAAAATAAAAAAATCTGTAATGCATTGAGATGGACCAGCAGTATTTCAACATTGTAGAAATTTTTTTTGTAAACACACGGTACAAGTAGTGCTAGCTTTCAAAGTATGTCACGCATCTAGCAAGGCTAATGCTAAGAGAAGCAGTGGGCTGAAAATTAGAAGTGAACACTTTTCACATAAGCTCCATAGTGCTTTGATAAATCGATGAGTTCTTCAAGGGTTATTTCAACACCAAAGGGCAGCTTGGGAGGCAGATTAACTACAGCAGAACAGAGCAGAAGATTTGTTGCCTTATATAATTCTAAAACACACAGTTGAGAGAGTTCATTTGGAGTCCGTATGAATATGAAATCAAATCAGGGTTAATGTGCTACAAAATAAAATGTACAGTGAAGAATTTGTTTCGGACTTCCCCCTCAAATTTCAGCTGTGAATATGTAGCTTTGAAAATATTCAATCTAGTTTCTCCCTTAAAAATGACATGGCTGCTCTCTGAGAAAAAGAAACATCTGATTTGGGTTTTGACATGTCAAACAACAACAAAAAGGGGAGATAAAGGAAAAAAAATAGCAGAAGGGAATGACTCATATGGAAGAACATTGCAGAAAATCAAATCTCTTCCAGTTGCTTCAGGGAAAAATGGACATACGCAATAAGAAGTAAATTTATCACGTACTGTGAATTATTTGCCAGCTTCTAAGTGGGATCCTTCCTTCTGCTGTTATACATATTCAAAACTTGGTATGAATATTTAATAATTAATAGCAGACAATTACAGCTAGAATTATAACAGTTATTGTAGCTGCAAGTTCCTCAAGGCAGGACCGTACCTTTATTAAGACTCCTTTATGCCACAAACATTTCATAAATAATACGCAGTGCTAACGATTTGATTGACATATCTGCCTCCTTAATAAATGGGATTTCTATTAGCTTAACAAGGACAGATAGCCCACAAAATGAAACACTTTTACCTGACCATGTACAGGACCAAACCAGGAGCATCACGGGCTGTGCTGACCATCTTTTGCTGCTGGGCTGTGTCAGGACTACAGCTCCCAGGTGTCGCTGCAGCTTGGAGGCTGCTCTCATCCCTCGGGGAAAAAAGCAGTCTGGGATTAGAGGAGTTTGAGTACAGTTTATTTCAGTTTTGATGCAAAGAGTGAGAGAAAATGATCAAAATAAGCGTGTTATATATTTAATTTTTCTTTTATTTCTAAAACCATGCACCTGTGTCAAACAACGCGTCTTGCAGTGTTGCTGCCTACAGGCTGAATTTCGAAGGAATTGGAATGAGATAAGACCATGCAATGAAGCACAAATCTTTACTCAGTCACCTTACCTATCACATGGTAGATAAAGGACCTCAGGGTTTGGCCAGGACCTGTTATCAAAGTGGCTAAAACAGTTGCAATGACTGCCCCGTGGGTTTACAAATTCCAGCAGTTTTGCTGCATATCACATTAAGAGCATTTTGAAATGGGGACCAACTCACTAATGGATATTTTTCCATCGGGGAAAAAAAGAAAAAATAAATAAAAAAATTCCATCTCCATCCCTACCAGCCGGATTCAGATGTTAAAAAATGTGACAAAACAGACTGTCTTGAGAAGACCGGGCAGAAAGGTGTCTGAAATACACTGAAACTCGGAGCAGAGCCCTGCGAAGTGCCACGCTGACACCTAGCGACAGCCTCCTGCAGAGCCCGGCAGATACCTGGCACCCTCCCCAACACAGCAGAGGGATGCAGAGCACCAAAAATTCAGAAGTGACCCAAACAGCACCCAGGAGTGCTTGTGGGTTTGGGGCTGGGGTTCCGCACACCGTATTTTGCACGCCTTGCCCTGTAAATCTGACCCTGTTCCTGCTGGCTGCTGCCACCGCAATGGGTCTGGCAGGCTTTTGGAGCTTTTCCTTTTATTCAGACAGACACATGGGCAGTGGGAAGTGCAGAGGTGCTTGAGCCTCAAGGCGTGTCAGTGAATCATCTGGTGCTGAGAAAAAGTGGTGCTGGGAGGAGTGGGGGCGTTTTACGCTGCTGGGTGCTGGGAAAAGTGGGTGAACATGGTCCCTTCCTTCCCTCGGGTGTCCTAGTGAAAAATAAAAATAATAATAAAAAAATAAAAATAAAATAAAATAAATAAAATAAAATAAAATAAAATAAAATAAAATAAAATAAAATAAAATAAAATAAAATAAAATAAAATAAATCAGCAAGGCAGGAAGGGCATAACCTATAGCCATGCTGTGCTGGTTCTGGCTGCTTGCAGACGGTGGGTAGGCAGAGGACAGGGGCTCAGAGCAGGGACAAGCAGGCAGAGGGTGGTTTGTGGGCAGCAGGAGGGTGTCTGCCCAAACACACACAGAGGTCTGGGCTAGCTGGAGGTCGTAGCTGTCCCCTAGGAGTGTGGCAGGGGGGTAAGAAGAAGTGGAGCTGCTGAAGTGGCAGTATGTTTGTTTCTGCTGAGTTCTTGCCTATCACTTGTCTGCTATGCTGCTGAGGCTTTCATCTCAAAAATAAGATTAAAATGAAATGAAATGAAATAAAATATGAAAAAAAAAATAAAATGAAAAAAAAAATAAAAAAAGAAAGATGGAAAGATGCAGGAATAACATTTTTGTTTTAGGGAGGGGAGATTCTGATGTCAGTCCTGCCCGAAGCTCCCTCAGATGCTAACAGGGCATTGGATTTGGATTGCAAAACCTGCCTGAGGAGTCAGGTGGATGTGTAAGGGGTGGCTCTACTGACTGGGCATTCATAAT